ATTCTGGCTTGAACAATGCATATAATTGATCCACAGGGGTAGCTTGGTCTTTTACAGGGTTAAGAAGAATATTTAAATGATCTAAGGAAGGTACATGGTCTTGAAGACTCTCTCTACAGGCCTTTTAGGGTTAAAAACCCAAGTACAAATATTGATATTCTACTACAAAGCATTTCAGGGGCAATTTTGTCTTTTCACACATGTATTATATCATAATATATTTGTGTATGATTGTACATTGTGTTGAATTACTTATACTCTCAAGTTAATCAAGTGATCACAGTCTCAAATACATAAGGCAATGCATATTGTTAAGTGTCACTACAAGGGCATTTTGGTCAATGCAAATTGTTGAGAATTCTGGTGACGCGTGTCCTGTGGTTCTGGTGTGTGAATATGCAGGTTGTCATTCTTTTCTTAGTGATTAAGCTTGTTATACATTTATATATATATACATGCACAAGGCTATCAATAAGCTTGCATGTTAGAAAATATTTTATGTAAATGTGGTAAGGGTATTATGGTACATTCACAAGGGAATTACAGATTATTCCATGTCCAATGATTGGATAATGGTAACACATACATTTCCTATTTGAGATAGGATTTGTAGTCATGATATACTATATATGTGTTGTTATAAAAATTTATAGGGTTTAAGCCTTTGAGAGAACCCGAAAGCAAGCTGTATTGAGAGTGAAAAGAGAACTGAATATGAACACACATTTATTAGATTATTTGTAATGATCAAAGCTTGATTTAAGCTCAGAAATATGCAGAGAATTCACAAGAGTAGATGATCAAATGGAGGCCTGTTATTGTGATTCTTGCTGGTGTAAAAGCTAGTTTTGAGGTCTAAGTTTGGTTTGACCTTGTTGTGGTGCTGAGACAAGGTTGAGGAAAGTTAACTTATAATTTTACATTTGCAAAAAGTATGTTTGTGACGATCGTTTAACTGCATTTGATTTTGATGTCTCAGACCTGTGTATTAGCTTATTTTTATGGTTTAGCTTGTTGATCTGAACTTAATATTACTATATCTTTCAATGAGTTGCATTATTATTATCTGAGCAAGTTTCTATAGTTAAATCAAGGCTATTCAAGTTGTGGTTTGCACTGAATTAAGGTTAATATAGAATTTGACCTTGTAAACCCTAGTTTTTGAAGGTTCTGAGCCTGTATATGAGTTATATTTTTGTATACATGCTATATTCATCCTGATTATCATCTGAGCATATCTGTAATGAAGATGCAAGGCTGTCGATTTCATCTTTGAGTTTGTGGGACACAAAATTCCTAACCCTTCAAACCCTAGTTTAAGCAAAATGAAGGTAGGGTGTTTGTATTGATACTTTAAGCTGATTATTCACTCTTATATTGTTTAATAGCTTAAGTATTGTTGTAATACATCTTTTTATATGTATTTGGTGAGTTGTGAGTGTTTACAGGGTCCAAGCAAGGTTGCTTAGGACATGGGGAGTGCATAGTGCACTTAGTGTTGCTAGTGTGTGTGTAGAGGCTGTGAAAGCCATTGTTTCATCTTGTACAAGGGTGTGTGTAGAGAGTGAGATAGCTGAGTGTGTAACTACTTGCATACAAGTAGTGTAGATTTTATTGGTTGAGGCCAAGAATCAAGGTTTTTCCCTATTGAGAGGGTTTTCCATGTAAATACACTGAATACTTGTAAGTGTGTGTGGAAGCTTATTGATTTTGTCGTCATCCGCATCACATTGTATTGATCATACAAAGAAAATTTTTATACAAGAACCAATTCATTACCCCTCTTGGTTCATGAAAATGAAATACAACGATAACCTAAGTTGCAACTACACATGGATGCCAACTTATAAATAGATTCGAAATCACATAATAGGGATAACTTGGTTACAATAAAACCCCGATCATACGTACTACATGCCTCAAGATAACTCACACACACCCGATCATACCTAATGTATGACCAGTAAAAATAGTCATTCTTGGTCTACTAAACCGCAGACGACAAACGTAATGGCTATTATAAAGCTGGGGAAACACTAGTTTCATCCGCTAGCACCAAGTCCTAACATTCTTAAAGTAATGAAATGACCCAAATCCATCCCAAAAATCATCAACAAAATCCACAAGGTACCATATGCCAATATATAACCAAATTGCACTTCACAAGGGCATATAAGTTCATATTTTCCACACAAAACATATCCTAGAGTCCAATGCTACCATGGAATGCTCAATAATGCAATGACAACAATATAGGCATGATATAATCATAACAAGCCCCAATTTCTCATATAAACATTTTATCAATGTTAGTGTACTACGCAACCTAGAATCACATTCCTGAAATACATTACATAGCCCAATATAATCCACATGATCTCAATCAATTATAACTTATATGCCATCCATTCTATCTCAAAGGTAAATACAACACATTAGTACATATGCACATAATTTCTAAAACTATGCAAGTACTTCTCCTAACAACAACAGTCGCATTAATATATCCAAGAAACTCATTAGGCATAAACATTGATAATAACATCATTAATCGTCATTTGAAACCTCATTAATCCAAGTATGCAATTCTAAGTACACACACACACACACACACACACACATGCATGCATAATCCATGCTAAACCTATAAAACACAAAGAAAATGTAGCCTTACGTACGCAACACATCCCTACCTCATATGGGATGAAAATCCCAAAACTTCCAAAATGAAAATGCTCCAAACAAGCCATAACTTCGAAGGGTCGACAAGGAAGACGATGGGAACGACAAAGCCTCCTACGACCGCCTTTAAATCTAAACCCGAACTCGGCCCCAAAACCCAAAATGCCCAGAACTGAAAACAAAATCAAGGGTTTTGAATCCCTTGGTGTCCCCATCTAAAAACCCTCCAATGGGAGTCAAGAATCCAAACCCACACTCACCCTAAACTCACAAACGTCCAAAATCAAATATATGGACAATGGGGTTTTGAAGCCCTTAGTGTCCCTGACCTTTCTCCCTGGCAAGACAAAAAAGTGAGTGGAATGTGAAGGAAATGAAGGTTTAAAGGTGGTGCATCAATGGATTTTGGAGTGAAGGTGAGGAAGATGAAGTGTAGGAGTAAAAATGAAGATTAAGCCCAATAATAAGTCACACACACTAACCTTAGCACTAACTCTCTCACACACAACCATCTCCAACCTCTACTTGTCAATCATCTAGCCCTCTACATGCCACCAATTCCACTTCAACACTTGTCCCAATCAAAACACAATATATGTCACAACTTTCACTATTTGCACAAAAGTCCCTCTATGAAGCCCCAAATGAAAATATCTCCAAAAAATAATCGCACAAATACCCCCACGCAATAAAAGATAAAAACGTATAAAAATGCAATATAAATCCACAATGCTATGAAGGTAAAATATTCAAGGATGGAATAAATGAAGTGTTGGGAACTATTCCTGAGCACTTGACTTGGTCTGGTCCTACAAGGCCCAAACTTGAAAATAAACGGGGAAAAAATACAGAAAAATGAAAAAGGGACAGGTCCTCACACGAGTTGTAGTCTTGGGATCGAACTGAGGCATATATTGCCGGAAACAAGTAAGCTTGTATAGGTGATTTGTATGCCCTGGTAGTACAGGGGACTCTTGACCACCTTGTGTGCAATTTTTCAGGTGGTACCCTTTATTAAGTTGAGGCGACCCTATACATAGTTAAGGTCTATTAGTGTGTATATTTATATAAGACTATGTAGCTATTGCATGATTTTTAGTTAGAGATGGATTGTTTATCGGTTCTCTGATTGGGTCGTAGTAAATCAAGATGACTTTCTCATGGGTTTAAGTCACCATAGTTAATATTTTTCGAGTCCATGATAGTTCCAATCTTAGAGTTGAGTTTGTGCTGATCAGAGACAATCTTCATCACTCTTCCGGTGTAATAGATGTAAGACAGTATGTTATGTTATTTCTTTATTTTCTTTTAGACTCAAAGATTTATTATTTCAGTTTTATCGGATTATTTAGGGGTCCTTGATTTATGGATTCCCGAGTTGTACTATTTGAAGGTTTATTGATACGGTGGTTTTTATTGGAGGATTATTCATTGATGGGTTTATTATTTAAAATATTATTATTTAGTTTTCCATTAAGCGATTTATTAATTATTTTTATTTTTCCATTTGTATTATGTGCTTGTCTATTATTCAATTGTTTTGGTATCTCCCGATATTTTGGCAAGGACTTGATCGACCTGGGTTCGAAAATTGGGAGTATCATAGTTACTCACAAATCGCGCGTATCATTTAAATTAAAAGTGTTTTTTTAATTTTTTTTTCGTCTCGAAAATTCGAAACTACTATAGACAAACTTGCAACATATGAATAATAAGTTGGTAGTTATTAATAATTGACTAGTGATTTAAGTTGGTAGATTGATTGATAAGCAATAATTGACAAGTGAGTTTTAAAATTTTTATACTCTATTTGGTTAGAGGATAGAAAAATGGATGGAAGAGAGAGGGGGAAGGATAGATGAGGCATCTACAGGGAAGCGAAAGTGTTTCTCTCACTTTTTGTTTTGTTGAATAGTAGAATAATAGAAATGATTGATAGAATGGTAATAATTTTTATTTTTTATTTGGTTGGAAAGAAGAAAATGAGAGTTTTTATATACTCTTACCAATATACCCTCAATAATTAAGATGCATTGTCCACTGTTTTCTAGTAGGTATTTCTAGTAGGTAATCTCCAAAGGAATTTATTCCCTCATTGAACAAATTGTATTCAAAATAATAGAAACAACATGTCTTTAAAATATAAGGGGTGAAATTTGACTATAAATATAAGGGATGAAATTTAGCTATAAATATTCAAGTCGTCAAAACCAAGCTTAACTTATAAAGGGTCATTTTTATTTTTATTTTTTTTTCTCGTGGCAATGAAACACCCAAAACAAAACAAGAAGCACCCAGCCACAAACAAACCAATAACACTAAGAACCTGAACCTATAACATCAGCTAAAGCAAGGTGCACTATCCAAGAAGGAATAGAAGGCAACACACGATCCTCCGTAACCCAGCCACGCGAAAGCGTCGCTAAGGCATGAGCCACCCTATTACCCGTACATCGAACATGACTTAAGTACGCCCAAGGAAACCGTAGAAGATCCGCCTTGATATCAAAACACAGAGACGCTATTTCCGATGGTGAATTTGCTCCATCCACCACAGCTTCAACAACATCCTTAGCATCATATTCAAACTATAAGCAAGAAAAACCTAAAGCTGAAGCCTAAAAAATAGCTCGCTGACAAGCTATAGCCTCCGCCACCATAGCCGACGAAGCAAAGAACGGGTAAAACACAACTGCTTGGAGAATAGTGCTTGAACAGTCGAGAAAGACGGCTCCTCCCCCACCCATGGACGATCCCGGACAAAAGGTTGTATCAAAATTACATTTAACCATCCTTGAAACAGGAGGACCCAACGAACCACCAATGGGGATGTCTTTGCCGGGCTTAAAGATTTACATTGGGACGTAGATTTCGTAAACTCCCAATAATTCGCTATGACCTTATCAACCACTTTCTCCGGCCTCCATAGCACCCCTTTAAACACTAAGCGATTCCTCGCTTTCCAAATACACCAAGCACAAAATGAAATTAAACCAAGAACCCTCGAATAATCCGACGAGGAAACAGCCTGTTTCATCATAAAACACTAACCATCCAAGAAAGAAGAAAAAACAAATGCTGAAAAATCAAAACGAAGCGGGGACAACTTCCAGATCCATATAGAATGAGGACGCATGAACAAAAGATGCACAATAGATTCCTCCTCCAACCCACAGCGAGGACACAAAGGTGACACAGCATAATCCTGAGCCAGCAAAGAAACACCAGTGGGCAAAGCATTATGACAACACCTCCAGAGAAAATGTTGCACCTTTGACAAAGTGTTGCAGCGCCAAATTGAAGACCAAGAAAAATTAGCCGAAACAATAACAGAAGAAGTACTAAGCGAAATAGCAAGATGATAAGCTGACAGAACAGAAAATTTACCCGTCCTCTCAGGCGCCCAAATTTGAACATCCGATTTGTCCCAACGACTAACATGCATGTGCAAAATTGCCTGAACCTCAAAAGGAGAGAAAACTTGATGCAAGACATCGACTTTCCAAGTTGAATTGTGTTGATTAATCAAATCCATAACGTTACAAAAGGGAACATCAACCTGTGGTGGTGAAAGTTTCTGAGGAAGCGCAAGAACCCAATGATCATTCCAAATATGCGTAAATTTACCATTTCCAATCAACGACCTCAATCCATTACGCAACAGAGTCTGTGTAGACCAAATATTACGCCATCCCCAAGAAGGATTAGATCTCAACAAAGCATCCAAAAACGAATATGAAGGAAAATACTTGGCCTTAAATAACTGGAACACCAATCCCTACTTATTAACCTGTAAGTACCAAGCATGTTTCGCCAAAAATGCTAAACTAAAAGCCTTAAAGATCCCGAAAACCAAGACCACCACTCTTCTTACTCCCACATAAGAAATCCCAATGAATCCAATAAATTGCACAATGTTTTATCATCACCAAAAATTTCTACAATCTTCACGGCTGTATAAAAATTACATTGACGGTTCATCACCACTTTAAAAATTAAAGGAGGTACCAGTAAGTCACAACACTAGGGGTAGTATTACTAACATATTAAATATCTCTCATTCCTTCTTTCATCTCTCTAGCCAATTTTAAGAGATACAAAAGTTAGTTGTCCTTGGCTGCTTCTCTCCTTTCCTTTCCTCCTAAGCAACAAGTCAAGCTTCTCCTATCCCTCCTCTCCTCCATTCTTCCCCAAATCTTCCCTCCATACAAACAAAACATTTTAAAGTTTTTGCTTAAAATTTCAAAGGGGAACGGGTGAATGGCGAGACTAGAGAGAGAGTAGAGAGAGAGAGGAGAGATGGATTACAGTCTGGCAGCACTGAAGCTCCTATGCGTACAGCTAAAAGGCGCCCGCCAAACACCATCACAGTCAGCCATGACTCTCGGCGGCATCCTCTTCCAACGTGCTTGGTTACAGGTCATATTCCCCGAAATATCCTCTTCCTTTTCCCATTTTTACATTTTCAACCCACTCGCTTACCCTAAAAGTGCAGGGCATTTTGATCTCAGCACCGTCTGAGGAAGACGGGGGCGGCCGGTTCCTCCTTGACGACGGCACCGGCGTTATCGAACTCTCTCTCTCCGGCGAGTTCCATAACTACCAATGGAAGACAGGTCACTCACGTTTTCCCTCCCAATTTTCCACATTTTACCATTACATTTTTTTTCTTCACTATCTTAAAAAATCCCCCTCTCATTGTATGTTTGTCTATGCTTTTACAGGGACGTATATAATGGTTGTTGGAGGGTATTTTGTCCGTACGGGTGATCTCCCCATGATTAAGGTAAAAACTCTCTCTCTATATATAATATGTTTGTGTTGTGTCTTCTAAAATCAGGTCTTAATCATAATTCAATAACATTGTAAGAGTTCATGGCTGTACAGATCTTTTGCGATTGAGTACAAATTTGCAATTTTTTTGGTAGATAATTTTCTTATTAGTGATAATTAATAATCGAAAGCTAAGCAAGTTGTCTTTATCTAACTAGTGTAATTTACCCAGATTAATTTGCTACTAATTCAGATATTTTATGTTCTTCTGATAAAGATATGGTTAATTAGAATCCAGATTTAGAAATGGTTTGCTGATACCTCATCTTTCATAGTGCTTAGTTAGAACTCCCTTTTAGATGTTAGAACAATATTTAGAATATGTGCTATTAAATTTTTGCGGATAATTCCATGGCACAGTGACACATCTATTTAGGATCATTGGGTCAGAACCTAGTGTTGTCCCTCTTAAAGTGTTAATTAATGATGCAATATGACATTACTGGTATACTGTTGTTACTTGCAACAGGCTCTTTCTTTTGTTTTAAAAAATTAATAATTAAAATATGATATTTCATGAAATAAAGACCCTTAATTAACCAACATGCTTTGTGTTAAGCTTTTCATTAATTATACTTTCCTCACCATTCTGATGGAGAACAAGGTGCAACTGAAGAGCTGAAACCACATATATATTTTTTTGATAAGTAAATGTATATTAACAAAGGCGCTCAAAGGGGAGTGAACTCTTAACAAAGAAAACAAAAGACGCAAAAGGCGTCACTACAACGATAAGTTGTCAACAAAATCCAAAAAACTGTCCAAAGATGAACAATGTTTCCCAATAACCCAAAAATAAAGAGAATGCAAAATATTCGACTTAATAACCCACGCCGGTTTCCATCGAAAGATCTCCTATTCCGCTTGAGCCACAACCCCCATCATACACAAAGAAGAGCTACCCTCCAAGCTTTTCTAACCCGGCTGCCCACTGGTCTCCCTCTCCAAGCCTCTAACATATCCATCGTGGTCCTTGACACAACCCAATTCGCCAAAGACATTCAGGACCATACTCCAAACATCCGCTGCCACTCTGTAGTGCAACAAGAGATGGTTTACCGATTCACCCGTCTTCTTACACATGCAACACCAATTAACTGTTATTTGGCGTCTTCTTCTAAGATTATCGAGAGTAAGAATGCTGCCAAGCACCGCTGTCCACATGAAAAAAGCCACCTTCAGTGGAGCTGAAGTCCTCCACACAGCCTTCCAAGGGAAAACATTGCTTATCGAATCTGTAAGGCTTTGGTAAAATAGCCTCACCTCAAACACCCATCTAGAACCCCCCATCCACACCATCTCATCCCTTCTTTCTCCCTCCACCACTTGACTATAAATTAATCCCATTAAATCTGTAAATTCCATCAGCTCCCAATCATTGAAATTTCTATGGAATCTCACATCCCAACTAACTTTCCTATTTTCAAGCTGAAAATAATCTACAACCACAACATTCTTATCCTCAACCATCCTAAAGAGACTAGGGAACCTACAAGCCAACACATCCCCACACCATAAATCCTTCCAAAACCTCACATGACGACCATTCCTAACTCTAAGCCATATCCGCTTAGAGAACTCGTCCCAACCCTTCTTAATACCTTTCCATGAGCCCATGCCTGCTGATGAAGACACAGCTTTAGACATCCAACCTCCCTCCTCTTCCCTAAACTGACAAGCAATAACACGCCTCCAAAGCACGGACCTTTCACACCCAAATCTCCACAACCATTTCCCTAACAAAGCTTTATTGAATATTTCCAACCTGCAAATTCCCAATCCTCCTCTTTAAATAGGGGTGCAGACTTTCTCCCATTTCACAAGATGGTACTTGAACTCCTCCCCTAAACCCCCCACAGAAAGTTCCCCTGAATCTTGTTAAGTCTACTGATCACTGTTCTAGGAATTGAAAACAAAGACATAAAATATGTAAGAAGATTAGAGAGAGTGCTTTTCGACAATGTGAGTTTACCCCTTTTGACAAGTATTGTTTCTTCCACCCGGATAACTCTTTTGGAAACGTTCCACCATTGGATCCCAAACAGCAATTCTCCTCGTAGAAAAACCCAAGGGCAGCCCCGAATATGAAAACGGAAAAGACTCAACTCCGTACCCCAGAATAGCTGCCAGATCATGAATGTGATCCACCTCCCCCACTGGAACAATCACAAGCTTGCCAATGTTAATCTTCAGCTCAAAGACAACTTGAAAACAGGTCAGTACACACCTCAAATGCCTCAAATGAGTCACACTCGCATCGCAAAAAACATTAGTGTCGTCAGCAAGCAGCAAGTGAGATGTAACAATCTGATTTGGCGTACGACCCACCGAAAAACCTTGAATAAAGCCTAATAATTCTGCCCTTTTCATGAGTCTGCTAAAGGCTTCCATTACAACCTCTCGAACTTGCGAAGCATCCTACTGGTGACCCACTAAGATATAAAAATGAGCTGTCGAAATACATTGATGAATCCACCCTCTCCATTTGGATCCAAACCCCATCCTCTCCAACAAATACAATAAGAACGCCCAATTCACATGTTCTCAATATCCAATTTACACACAATCCCTGGCTCACCACTCTTGAATCTAGCATCAATACATTCACTGGCAATAAGAACCGGGTCAAAATTTGCCTTCCTCCAACGAATGCATTTTGTGACTCCGAAACGACCCCATCCAATACTTTCCTTAGCCTAATGGTCAGGTTCTTCGCAATAATCTTATAAACAGAGCCCACCAAACTAATTGGTCTGAAATCCTTCGCTTCAATTGTTCCACCCTTTTTAGGTACAAGGGTAATGAAAGAGGCATTCAAACTCTTCTCAAAACAACCCTCCTCAAAGAAGGCATCCATGACTCTCATCACATCCGCTCTCACCACCTCCCAATTCTTTTGAAAAAACGCAATTCTAAACCCGTCCGGACTTGGAGCTTTATCTCTGTCGCAACTCCTTAGAGCTTCCAACACTTCTTCCTCCCCAAATGGCCTCTCCAAACCCACCCTTTCCTCATCAGAAATTGCATCAAACTCAATATCATCCAACCGCGGTCTCCAAAAGGCAAACTCTATGAACAAAGCCTGGTAATATGACACAAAGCCTGTCTGGATCTCCTCTTTAGTTTCAGCCATAACTCCATCAAAACTTATCCTCCCAATACTGTTCCCTCTCCTATTAGCGTTAGTTAAGCGGTGAAAAAATTTAGTATTCTGATCACCTTCTTTAAGCCACAGGGCTCTAGACTTTTGTCTCCACGAAACTTCCTCCATCACTACAGTTTTTTCAAACTCAGCCTTGCACTCCTCCCTTCTACTCCTCTCCAACATGGAAATCCCCTCGGCACCTTCCTTCCTGTCCAACTCTGAAATTTCCATAAGGAGTTGATTTTTCCGCCACTCCAGCTTGCCAACACTTCCTTATTCCAGACCTTGATTTCTCCCTTTAAGCGTCTCAACTTTGATGCGAATTGAAAACTTGGATTACCTCTAACATCATAAGCACACCACCAGTTCTTGACCCTTTCTTTGAAATCTCCCACTCGGAGCCACATGTTTTCAAATCTAAATGGGGATCTTCCTCTCCTAATCCCTCCACAATCAAGCAAAATAGGAACATGATCAGAGATTGCCCACGCACATGCCACTTGAGACACATCTGGAAAGTTCTCCTCCCATCTCCACTAAAAGAAGAAATCTATCCAGCCGAGAAAAAGGAGGATCACGCCCACTCGACCATGTGAATTTGCCTCCCACCATGGGAAGATCCAACAAATTGTTAGCTTCCACAAAATCAGAGAAATCAGCCATTGCACCATCCCATGCACCCCAAGAAGATCTCACACTCGTGTTAAGAGCAGCCTTAAAGTCCCCCCCCAACACACCACGGAACCACCCATCTGCTTCTAATGTTACCCAGCTCCTCCCACAACTCTCTACGCTCCACATCACCAACAGGCCCATATACCCCCGAAAAACACCACTTCGAACCATCTTCCTCAAACTCAAATAATAATGATAATGAATGTCTCTCTTTCCAAACATCAACCTTCGAAACCCACCTCCTGTCCCAAAGAACAACAATGCCCCTACTAGTCCCTCATAGTTAACTTCTGAAAACAGACCTTTCAGCTTTCTCGCCCCTTTCAAAACTGACAAACTCTTCTCCTTCTTCCTCACCCATTCATCCTCCACCGCTTGGAACAACTCCTTAACTTGCTTATCTTCCCCTTCCCAAGTCAGCCCCAAAAGTTTGCTTTCCTCCTCGATACCCTTCATAAACCAGTTGTCTTCTAAACCATCCAAATCCGAGGTCTTTGAACATCTCTGACCACTGCCAAAGGAGTATGGAATCCCACCGTGCTCTCTCCACCCCCATCACCGATGTCCCATAAAGGATAGGTAAGATCCGCATCAAACTCTCTGTCACTTAGATCAACCTTCTCACGACATACACTTAACTCTGTTTGCAAAAGGTCTGCAGATCCTCCATCACTAGTCAACATACACCTGCACCCCACACAAAGGAGAGCACTCCCTTGTTCTGTATCACTCGGCATCAGCTCGATCAACCCCCTATCATCCACTGAGTGATCATACCCTCCAGTATCCCTGACTAAAATATCTGAACCACTCCTTCGCCATCCACTTTAGGTATCGGCGCATGCCTATGACCAAACGGCGGTCTCCCCACTTCCTCCCTCTCACCCACTATCCTCACCACCCCAGAAGGAGGAGTAGAAGAAGGAGAAGCATGAGTAGAGATAGAAGAGCGTGCCGGGTACAAAACAGAGGACATACTTGGGCCACCACCTCCATATACAACCCATTTTTGTTTATGAAACCGCGACCATCTTTTACCTTTCTACCGGCTACGGACCTTAATAGCACGGTGTGGTCGGAATGAGTCGCCTGATGTCTTGCCTCTCGCCTCTTGTCCTTCACTCCCTGCCTTG